CAAGTTTGAAACCTAGTAATTTCCATCGAAGTTTACAGTGGCGTATTTCTCCTCAAGGTTCTTGCCGGCACAGTCCCACTACCATGTAACGTATAAGGAAAGGCTAGCAGGTGTTGAGAGACTACAGGAGTAGACGTATTTCTAAATACGATATTAATTTTTGCGCCGTCAGCCCGAGAGTGATTTCAAAATTTGTTCTCTAATTATCATAAATATGTATAGGTGGGTCAGCCCGAGAGGATGTAAGAGTACTTTGAGACTACTTCTCCGATTATTCTATTTATTGGGCACGGGCCACCGGCTAGCCGAAAGCCGAGGTCCAAGACTGGGAGTGCGTAAGAGAGAAATTGATATAATATTTCTAGAAATATTTAGAGTACTGAAGTGTTCTGCATAAGGTTTCTCTTTACATATGAGGTTTTACCCTGGCCAACCCAAGTAAACGAACACAAGAACAAAAACCATCAGTACATATCTGAGGGTAAGATCATAAATAAATTCATTCGAGCGCACCATTCTTTAGACACATTTGCACTTAAGTCTACTACATTGCACTCTATCAGGTGTGTTTGGCATTAAACGGCATTGGAGTGCAATTAAGGTCGCAGCTTCCCTTTGAAGTACACAAATAACGAAACCATGCTTGCTTTGTGGACGCAGGAGCTTCGACATTACTCCGTGAGGTCGGTGCATGCAGTACGGGAAGGAAATCTGCCGTGATATGGTCTTTGCCATATATTTCGTCCGTTGCAAGGACAACGGCACGGCTGTTTTTTTTTCTCGCTGCTGGCATCAATCATCCATTATGACATGCAGCTCGCACAGATGGTTTCATTTCACGTCAAGAATATTTGCACTCTCTTGTGCATTTCTCAGCCTGTGCGTTTCATTGAAAGTTTATTTTTGAAAATGGTCGCAGACCAGGCCGCTGATATCTCAATGTGCTGCCCGTATATGCAACATGCAGCCGGGTGGCCTCTATTGGCGCCATGCTTATTGGTAGCACCAATTATTATTTCCCCAGTAGTTTTGTGGCATGGGTATGAGCCAGCTGGGGCCCCACGGTGGGACGCAGCACTATTCCTACGCATTGGCTATACTGCTGCCCCCTTTGTCGTGTCTGATGAATTCTGTGAACCGGTCGCTAGGTTGTTGACTTCCAGACTACAGCATGTTCAACGCCTCTGGCCTTAGAGTTTCAAGCAAACAACCGCGGAATGCTCATATGATCACGAAACCGTGATGGCTGGCCCAACCCCTCACAATCACCGTGACCCACAGCTTGACTGGCCGTAGGAATACGTCGCTCTCGAGGCAGGTCCCGGCACGCGCACGCAGAATTGGCCCATGTACCGCATGTGACCATTCTTTTTGGCAGTTTGTCAAATGACAAGCATAGTATCCGTTCGTTCGGTAGCTGAATAAAGGATGGCTTCATATGGGGATAACCTGACGATATAACGGTTGACGAAGACTCTGTCTTCGACTCGGAAATCATTCGCGATTCTGCGCAGACGAAATGATAGTATTGCATTTCACCCCGATGGGACACCACCAGGGTATTGGGCGCGCAGAAGTGGTGTTTAAGATCCTCAAAAGCTGGATCTACAGATCAGCTATACCTACCACACGTTCCTCATGGATCTGGAAGTCTATGGCTTTGCGCAATCCTAGAATGCGCTAACAGACACCGCCCTCTAAACAATGGCAACTAGGACTTCGAAAATAGTGACCCTTGATCTCAGTGAAGTCCTCGCGAACTATGCACAGGTGGTCCAATAGGCGGCAGCTGACAAGCGCTGTTTGGACACCCTGCCGTTCCGTCAAGGTACTAAGGTTATGAACCTCTTGGCTTACCCAGTGCCAGGCTGCTTTATTTGGCGTGGGCTTTGCAAAGTCACAGCAGAAAACAACTTTCGCAGACACGATAACCATCGCTGATTGCTCCGCGGGCAAAGTTTGTGTGCGCTATCGCGCGCAACTCAAGCCTTTGTTTTCTTCTTTAGTGCCTCCAAAGGCCAGAATGAAACATGGCTTTTTCGCGAATCCCCGTTCATGTCTGCGCCTGAAGAGGAACGCAAACGCTTGTTCTATCTCCTCCGCGCCTCCCCGGGCGACTTCAAGCAGAAGAATAGGGTAGACTTGCACTTTCTATCTATCGAACTTTGTACTCAAGTATCCGCGCGCAACCCACATACGCCCTCAAGGGTCTGCCTCAAGAATTTATCTTTACCCAATTCCATAACTTGCCCTATGGTCTGTATATTGTTTGTTAGGGGACTGTAGGGAAAGACGTGATATCACAGACACCTTTGAACAATAATTGAACGTACGATCGTTGCGAAATGTCATTTAATTCAAAGGGGTTTAAATTTCGGGATTAGGAGACCATATAGTTACCCTCTTCCCGGTTTCTTGGTCGTAAAATCCGCTGAAATACTTCCGGTTTAATAATTTTGTGACAATGTTCAGTGTACTTTCTTTCGATTTGGTTTGTGGCTGTGAATGGCTGTGTGTCACTGTGTGGCAAAACTGTTTATTTGTCGGTTACGAAAGTTGAAACAGGTACACACCCTTTGAATCGAAAGGCCCTCTTACCATAATAAACACCCAGTGCATTAAGGTGAAATAGAAAGTATTTTGATTGGCTAGTTCAATACGGACCGGGAAGAAACAAACCATTTTTCCTTCAACATGACTGCTTCAACAATCAAAAGTATCTTGGTTGCGCCTGTCCTGACCGTGCCACGAGCCAACGGCCGTGTTTTAGGGTTTTGGGGGTTTAAAAGTCCGTGCGATGTCACGCTAGCTACCACAGGGCATAAGGTGGAGACTTAAAGCGTGGAAAAAAAATAAAAGGGTACAAATACTTGTGGGCGTGGGAGTGTGGGAGTAGGAGTCTGAGACAATGGTTGATCGGGATCCCATGACAACCAGCGAATCTAAAATTCACAAGATTGTTGCGGATGGCCACGTGCTTGATTGCTATCTGTTAGCTGGTACAGCAGAGTTTGGAGAAGCGATTGTGATGACTTTTAAGTTGCGCGCTACAAAAGAAGGAACATATAGCAAAAAGTGTTGGTTGAATGCCTCTTTTTGGAAGCAGTTGAAGCACTTGACGGAGAGGCGTTTCCAGGTTGTTGCCAGGATGGGATGCATGACCATAGAACGCGAACGAATTCATTCCTCATGTGATTCACGACTGTGATATTGCGGTGGACGAGAATCGTTTGCAATATAACAAGTCTCACGAGGGTAAAGGGTATGAGGCATTTTAGAACCAGAACAAGAGGGTGTTCGACTTTCAGTTGAAGGGCGATGAAGCATGTGAGGGCGCAAGGAAACACGAAATCACCTAAATTGGTGCAGCTTTTATACTGGACGAAATGAGGTATATCCATTCTTTATTGCCCTAAAGTCTTAAGAAATATAAATTAAATATTGTATTTGAAGCCTGAACAGGTAGTGATTTTCTATCTATTCGATGAACTGATAGTTAATTTTGAGTGGGATAATAGGCCTGCTGCCAGCCACATTTGTCATTTCGAGCTGGCTTAAATGTGCAGCTACATTCACCTTTTTAAAAAGTTGCTAGACCATGTATTGATCAGTTTCCAAAGATTTGTTTATTAGGCATTCGGACCGCATGACTATTGTCTAATGCAGCATATTTGATAATTAAATACATGTGCAATATCATGACCCTCTCCTCTAGTGGAGAATTCGGTATTTGGTGAGGTTGCAGATGTTTTCAGTAATACACACATATTTTATTCAATGTAAACGAAATGCATAGCCTACTAAATAAAACACGAAATGTATTTAAAAAATTGTAAAGATATACACTTCCAAGTGAATTGTTTGATCCAATCATTTTGTTATTGTAGGCAAAAATAGTAATAACCGGGTGGTTGCCGTCAGAGCCACCACTGTTGCCCCAGAATAAGGAGGATAGTCCTTGGTACAAGCCCAAGTATATGAGGGACAAGCACCCTAACGTTGAAGCTCTCGCATGAGTCTTCAAGAAGAAGTGTAACAAGCACCCCGATGTGGAAGAGATGTTCAGGAGTGTACCAATAAAACTAACATGAATCGAACTGATAACCACAAAGAAGTACTTTTGGTATTAAATCCAATACACATACTCTACCAATAGGAAGCACATCATTGTGAATTGAACTTTCGTTAAAGGCCTAGCCTAGCCTGCAATCGTGTGAGCTGTCGTACAACACTCGTATGTAATGTCCCATATAGACTATATACACAGGCATGGCTGCACATATTGCCATTGTAGTATGCGTCCGTCTGCTCATGGCTCACGTTGCGCATATCTATAGGAATTTTTATTGAACTGCATATTTTCAGTACAAAGATGACGATCCCTGACAAATACATTCTTCTTAACCAATTTGAACCAGTTGCTATTGGACTGAGAAATAATTTGAGGTACGTTGTGGGGTTCCAGGGTTTCATCATGTTTGCTCAAACCTTGAAGCACAAAGTGTGTCGATGTCAGGTGCAATGTACAATCTTCATACAGGACTGCACGTACAGTCTATAGCACTTCACAGCCGACAACCGTACAATCATCCGTAGGTATGGCGCTGCGCTTCTTTTGTATTGCTGTCTCCACTGTATTTTGCATTGCTGTCTGCGCTGCAAACGAGTGTGCGATATAGACTACACACAACGCTAAAACTGCGAACAGGCCGAGACAAGCCGTAGCATCAAGTACTCGGTTGTATCCTTTGTCGACCATTTCAGTTTTTGCTTTCGCCTAAGAAGTCGTCGAAATCTAATGCAACGGAAGATTGAACGAATGGGCGGATGGATGGTAAATGGAGCTGGTGCGTTGTATGGCATGAGAGTGTAGTGCGGTGGTCGGTATGAACAAGGCAAGAGAACGCAGGAGGGCCAATGCAATATTAAACCTCAAGCCCCTAAAACCAAACCCTAAGCACCTAAAACCAAGCCCTATACTAAAGTACTGGCGAATACCATGGCTAGTTGAGCCGTTATTTGTATATATCCGTATATATCTAGACCAAACGCACGCACACATGTACTTCCAGATTAAGCATACCTTCTTCCGTCATCTCATCTGTGGCATTTGTAGAGTGCGTAGTGGTGGACGTATCCAGATCTGTCAACGGGACGCATCACAAATATGTCAGTATGAAACGATGGTCAGTAATTTGATTCTATACAGCCATGTCTCAAAATAAAAAACCCTAAAACCCTATAGCCATGGGCTAAGAAGTTAAATAATACCCGGTTGTCCAAGTGGGAGTACTCATAGAGGACATTGAAGCTCAATCATCACAACACTGATGCGGCCTTGGCATAGGACACACCGAGTGCCCAGCAGACAATAAGCAATTGCATGAACAACCAAGTGCTTAGACGAAACTCAGAAGAAACAATACAAGAGTACAAGTGATATGGACACCGCACAAACCCATCACAAAGCTATGGTAGCATACATCACATACACAGACACATACGACTGCAACACATACAGCAAACTCTATCGTTACACTTAAGAGAATGGCACACATACCTAGACCATCAAAATCATCGGCCAAGTCCTCCGTTTGAGAGACTGTTGACGCATTCGGTGTTGTCGTCGCTGGGGTGTCCATGACTATTAAGTCTGCCTCTCCTCTGCAATGGGAATATAAAATGGTCACTAAGCAACAGGCCATGATGGTCTCACATTGAACTACTTGCGCAAAAACACATCCAATAACAATTGACACCACACAGGACACAGGACAAGTGTAGCCAACGACCAAGCACCATCTAATGGCCTCAGATGTGCTCGACCAAGTGTGATATAAAGACGAATCTAAAACCCTAACGCGACTGTGTATCAACTGCACCCCCAAGAACCCAAAAATCCTATAGCATGGCTCATGGACAACTCAACCAAAGGAGAGAAAAGGATATGCGATGCAACCACTCCCCAACAACAGCCATTGCGTGTCAGAGGACACTGAGGACATACGTTGTGGGGTCGTTGGTGGCTGTGGTGGGTGGTTTGGTCGTGTCTGCTGTGTCCCTTTGAGCTGTGCTTGGGGGGGCCATGGCCTTTTGACTCGTCTGATAGAGCGCTAACTTCTTCTCGTACTCGTCAAAGCCATGCACCAACTGGTCATTTACCAGTAGCAGCGTGTCTGTGGTAGAGACAAGGGATGTGCCAGGATATAAGGTAGAGGATATAGTGTAATCAGACACTCATTGTAAGACAATGTAGTATAGACAGACGATCATTGTAAGACAATGTAGTATAGACAGACGCTCATTGGAAGACAATGTAATATAAATAGACACTCGTTGCAAGACATTGGAAAATAAATAGACACTCATTGCAAGACAATGTAGTATAAATAGACACTCATTGCAAGACAATGTAATATAAATAGACACTCATTGCAAGACAATGTAGTATAAATAGACACTCATTGCAAGACAAAGTAATATAAATAGACACTCATTGCAAGACAATGTAATATAAATAAATACTCATTGTAAGACAATGTAATATAAATAGACACTCATTGCAAGACAATGTAATATAAATAGACACGCATTGCAAGACAATGTAGTATAAATAGACACTCATTGCAAGACAATGTAATATTAATAGACACTCATTGCAAGACAATGTAATATTAATAGGTACTCATTGCAAGACAATGTAATATTAATAGACACTCATTGCAAGACAATGTAATATAAATAGACACTCATTACAAGACAATGCAATATAACCAGACACTCATAATCTATCAGCCGCCCATCCCGTAACTCGTGCGGTGCTTTGCCCAACCGTGCACCGGTTCTAAATATAGATTGGCTGTGAGCTATGAATAGCCTGCTCCGTGTTCTTAGTGGATGTGGGCTATAAATAGATTGCTCCGTGTTCTTAGTGGATGTGGGCTATAAATAGATTGCTCCGTGTTCTTAGTGGATGTGGGCTATAAATAGATTGCTCCGTGTTCTTAGTGAATGTGGGCTATAAATAGATTGCTCCGTGTTCTTAGTGGATGTAGGCTATAAATAGATTGCTCTGGTGTGAGCGCATGACTTACTCATGATCTGGTCGTTGTCCACTTGTGATATCAGCGTCACCACTCGCTGATGCATCGCACGCGTCGTCTCCACTATCTCCTGTGCAACACAAAATAACACAACGGAAGGACAGGGTCATGGGAAGTATTCAGTAGCAGGTTAGGAGCATCTCTTGAGTAACAACTGGCATGAACAATAGGACATACGCACGAGTAAAACGTGTGGCTAGACAGGGCATGCGTTAGAAGGACACCTGTCACTCGCAACAACACATGTCACAGTCACACCTGTCACTCACAACAACACCTGTCACAGTGACACCTGCGACCACGCCATAGCACAAACTAATGCCAACTGATCGCAATGTCGCCCACCGTTAATAGACTATTAATTCGAACACGCCATAGAAGCACCCCATGGAGGGTTAGGGTTTAGGGTTATACTAGAACTTACCTACCGACTACGTAGCCACACAAACACGCTGCATTTGATGGCAATTTAAGAATGTAAGGGGTGACTAGGGGTTTAGGTGTTTGGGTTTCTAGGGTTAACATGGTCTTAGGTTACACAAATGACTACTGTTTTAGGGTTATTAGGGTTATTAGGGTTATTATGTTACGTAGATGGCCATGCACTTACGCTGAGCAGTTCAGAATCGGTGGGATTGTCTGTGGCGTCTAAGGCGTTGACCATGTCGTCCAGCACATCTGCGTTGCCTTTGACGATCTCCAACTCATCGGCCAACTTAGAACACACACCGCAGAGATACCAGATGAGTGCATGGCATTTTCCTCATGTACAAGTGAGTGATAGCATTATTCTCATGTACAAGCGAGTGATAGCATTATTCTCATGTATAAAAAGTGCAGCACATCATACGTAGATAGAAGTCAATGGATTCACACACACACACACTTACACACACGCACACACACACATACATACATAAATATTCGTTGCGTGGCATACCTTTGTAATCTGCGCGTCTGTGGGGACTATGCGCTGTGACGTGTTGTGTGGCTGTAGCGGTGACTGTTGTTGCTGCGTTGTAATTTCTGTGTCCGGTACTGCAAAATCCTGAGTGACATTCATAAAAACAGTGCAAATGCAATTTGGACAGATGAGAAGATAAATTTTTGTATGTATACATATATAGATATATACATATATATACAAACACACACACACACATATATATATATATATGTGTGTATATATATATAGAGCAGATGGAGGTGGTAAAAGACGTGTGAACGCATAAGCATATGATAGTATCAATTTTTTTTGAACCAGTTAAATTTCAAAGCAAATCAGCAAACGTCATGCCAAGGTCTGACCAGAGCATTCAGGGAGGTCAACCACTATGTGTTCCTCTTTATTCAAACACTTCCTTTAGACCACCTGTCCACACACCAATGTCTTCACATGATAACCTCAGTGGGATATGACACAGAGCGCCAGTGCGATTAGAGTTTGAGCTAAGTGTGTTCTAGTATACACGCACTATTATGTACATGCGCATTGCTACTCGTATATGCACGCCCCAGTCCACACACACATGCACAAACACATGCACACCTGCATGTACACACATATGCACACACACATGCACCCACACATGCACACACCTTCATGTACACAGACATGCACACGACATACAGGCTCAGCCATATGAATTGGAGTGACTGTGTTGGGGTTGATCTCGGGGAACTCGATACCTGGTGGGAGGCAGTGGTAAGGGTAAAGGCGTCACAAAAAGGGTCAATAATGGGGGTCACAAAAGGGTCAATATTGGGGGTCTAACACGATGTGGTCAAATACTAGTAACAGTGCTCTAAGAACACGCATTCATCATGTCTCATAAAAATATGTTGACAAAATATCACACACTTGAGCTGTGCTAAAGACTTCTGATAATCAGTCACGCTTAGCACTCAACACACAGACATGCAGCCAACAGGAAAAGTGCACTCAAATCAAAATAATGAAACGACAACTATACTGTAGCCAGTGTCTCATATCTCAGTGTAATTCTCTGACCATATATGTACCTATATAACCACACACACACCCATGTATCTATATATATGAACATAGGTATATATATATATATATACATACATACATACATACATACATACATACATACATATACATATACATACATACAAATACATATATATATATAATGGGAACGTATGACTGTGTATTTGTCCATACTCTTGCTCAGTAGTTCCGCATGAACAGTGTATAGTTCTGGGAATAGATGTCTCTTGCCGTCGAATGAGATGGCCCATTCGGCCAATAGACGGCGTGCGTGCTCTCCCGAGACACTCTTCTTCTCAGCCACCTTGCCCAGACTGGGGAACACATCCTTCTGACACATGGACATGTGGAATCTACCACAGATGTGAGTCATACAAGGGTTAGGAAACACTCGGGAGGGGAGGGAGATGCAATACATGTTGTATTACAACTCTCTCGAAGACTTACAAATGAACAGTTTAACCTGCCATGGTTAAGAGTCATCCTTGATGACAGCACACGGATAGGAGTGGCTCATACGCACACCTTTGTGAAAGTAAGGCCGCATGCCAGCATGACATATGTAGATAGTACGCGAAGTGCCACGAGGTTATTCAATCAATTATACATGTATATATATATACACACTATATAATATATAAATATATATATATATTTATAAATATAAATACACACTACCCATATATATAACACACACAAACATATACACACCATACCAACATCAACCCACACACACAAGGTCTATCTCATACCGCTGGCCGCAGTTTTGCACACACGCCTCCAGCAGATTGAGTGCGAGTGTCACTACACGTTCGTTGTTGTTTCCCAAACGTTTACGGATTGCTCGTGCGGCATCGCCAGGGCCATCGTCAGTGGCGTTAACGCGGTCGGTGATCTCGAGGTTCAATGCCCAATCCTCCATCACCAGTAGCTCAGAGGTTGCCTGCTCTACCTACGAAGGATGATGGGCACGCGTCTGGAAGGTAAGTTAATAGGTAGAAGGCCAGGCAGGGTAGTGATGTGTCATGGACATGTGTGACGGATGTATGAAAGCGTACGGACGGGGTAAGAGAAAGTAGCGCGAGTCAAAAAGTGCTATGCAAAACTAGTGGCGTCTCCGGGAAAAAACAGATATAGATGAGGTACACATTATAATTGCGGTCGTGAGGAAAATTGTACCACTAAACACGTTAATAATGTAAACACATGGTGCTCCCCAGATATGTATACATCAATATATATACAAACACATAAGCATATATATGGGGTAGGAGAAAGTAGTGTGGATTAAAAAGTGCTATGGAAAACTAGTTGTGTCTCAGGGAAAAACGGATATAGATGAGGTACACGTTATAATTGCGGTCGAGAGGAAAACTGTACCACTAAGCACATTAATAATGTAAACACATGATGCTCCCCAGATATGTATACATCAATATATATATAAATAAATATATATATATATACATATGTATATATACATATATATACGTACACAGAAATACACACAAACACACACAGTCACACACATATACGTATATATATATATATATATATGTATATATATATATATATATATATATATATATTATTATAGTAGTACGTACACAACTAAACTAACGTAACGTAGAA